AATAAATAAATGAATGAATTTCTTGTAAACTAGCGTGACACAATAAACCATACGCAAGAAACTACTGAGCCCCTTGGGGAAAGTGGCAAAATGTCTTGATAACTTAGCCAAGGAGTTTGCAGATGAATGTACTTGGAAGAGCGGGCAAAGGCATCTCCCACGTTCTACAGCTGGATCAGGCTGCTTCAGATCGTGACCTGACATTTCTCCCCTGTAAGCCTGGGAGGGTCCTGCAGTAGCAACTACGCAGACTTCTGGGTCCCACTGGGCAAGTAGTCAGTATTGATCAAGGAGCATTGTTGGAGCAAATGAAAGATCTGTCCACTCCAGCATTTTGTTCACACAGCAGCCAACCAGCAGACAGAAAAGGAGTGCAACAGCCTCTCACCCATGTTCCCCAGCATACTTCCCTGGATATCGGAAGCAACATATAGCCATGAGGTTTTGTAAACACTGAGAACCCAGTCCTCCATCAATGTTTCCACTCCCCTTTTAAACCCATCCAAATTCATGGACCTTCACAACATCCTGAGGAAGCAAACCCTATCATTTAAACAAGCACTGCCAAAATTCCTTCTTTTTATCTGTCAGGTTTTAGGATTATGAGGGAGGAATAAAATGTCTCCCTATCCAATTTGTCCACACCATGCATGATATGACACACCTCCATCCTATCTCCCTTTACTCATCTTTTTCTTTTTCCTCTTTAAGCTGAACAATCCCAAATGTTGAAACTTTTCCCATGGAGGAGCCCCTCCAGTCCCTGAATCGTTTTAGTTGCACTGTCACACCGAAATCCCGCAATTAAGGCTCAAATGATCAGTTTCTTGTGAGGGCAATTAGGTTTATTTACAATCGAACACATGGATCCACGGGTGCCCAAGGCAGGAACACCCGATGCTACTTCCATTAGGGTTATATAGAATGCACAAAGGGGGAGTGAATACAATACACGGGGAGGTGATTGGATACTTTGATATGGATAGGAAAGTGAATGGATACACGTCACAGCACCATAAAGCAAAGTTACATTTCACTCTAATTAGAGAACTTTGACAGGCCTTCTAAATTAAAGTTACCCTGAACAGGCTGGCCAAGTTAAGTAAACAGAAAGGTTCCATGGGTGAACTTTCTGGGTTAGGGAGACACGCTGGCAAGTCCATAAAATACAGAGACTGCACTTGGACAGTGTAAGGAGTATTTGAAATCCAATTGTCAGGAGTAAAAATAATTCCCAGTAGTGATGATAGTGACAATACAGGGACAAAGTACCAAGCGGAAAAGTTTAATTCGTTCTTGCAAGGGTGGGTGCCCACCACACAGGTAGCGTGCCGTTCACACGCAAAACATTTCCTTTTATCCCCTTTTCCCGGCTCGCAGACCCTACCTCTTTTCTCCCATTGGCTGGGCTACTCGGAGGGTACATTCTTCTCCGTCCACCTGCATCATACTACCCCTTCATATGGTCCCCCTCCCGCACATCCATCCCATGTTCATGCTAATTTAATTTAATTTTTCGATTTATATCCTGCCTTGTTCCTACAAAGGGCTCAAGGCAGCTTACATCATTCTCCTCCATCTTATCCCCACAACAACAACCCTGTGAGGTAGGTTGGGCTGAGAGCCTGTGACTGGCCCAAAGTCACCCAGTTGGCTCCATGGCCGAGCGGGGACTAGCACCCAGTTCGCCTGAGCCCCAGTCCCATGCTCTTAACCACTGCACCACACTGGCTAATGAGCCCATTACCTATGAGAGGTGTGTCAGTTACTATTCATGCACCTATTGAGCATGCGCACTATTTTCTAAAAGTTCAACAAGTCAAAGTGGCCTTGGAGCCTCACTTGATGCCGACTTGTTTCCTAAAACTTGTGGGAGGATGAGACTCCTCCAGGCGCATTACGCCCAGTTGCAAAGCAATCGATTGCCTGCTCTCTTCCACTGAAGGTGACAGTTTTACCACTGTCCCTCCACTTTTACCCTCTCTGGTATTTTTCGGGACTTTTGATGTAAGAAACACTATTACTCTTAGTACAACTATTTACATGATTCTATTCTCAGGCCTTTTGGCCCCAAGAGACGTCAATGATCCTGTCCTAACCCTGTTTTTCACCTTAACACTTAGTAACAGTAACATTTCATTTCTCACAACAGTTACCCACTAACGGCGTGGGGTCCTCTGGTCTTCACCACCAGACACCGAGGCCTCTTTTGATGTGTTTATGGCAGGGCAGAGGGATGGGATGGCAAGATTTGTCTTTCCGAGTACAGCACCATTCAATGCAATGAACGGCATTCCTGTGAACCCGCATGTCTAGCCATTTCATTAACATTTTAAACAATATGGGGAATAAAAAACAGCCCAGTGGAAACCCAGAACATACCTGCAGAAGCACAGAACAATAACTCCGAAGCATCGCTTTCTAGAGCTGGCCGTCTGATTTCTCCCACTTGGACAAATTTCTGAAGAAAAAGGCTCAAGTTCACAGAAGAAAAGGGAATCAATAGCTATGATTTGTGATAGGTACATAATACCTCCATTTCCACCAATGGCCGGATTTCCTGGCATTTTTCCTCCCCTTCTTAAAGTACTTCTTGAGGCTTAGTTACTGGTAAACAGAGCTTTAAGCTAGAATAGTCGTGTCCTAGACTGGAATAAGCCCTCAAGAGCTTCTGCAGTGTTGCATTTTTTGAACATCATTTTAAGAGTAAGGGGTTTTAAACTGTCGCTTTTTCCTTAATTTATTTATTCTGATTCTTATTTTATTGATTTTATTTATTATTGCTAATTATTTATTACTATCATGGTATGAATCATTTTATCATTGTTGTGGATTTTATGTCTGTAAGCCATCCTGAGACACTGTTGTAAAGGACGGGTTGGAAATGTTTTATTAAATTAATTTGGCCTTCAGGCTGAAAAACACCACTAATGGAACATGTTCTTACTGAAGGAGTTTCTGCTTTGCTTGGGTGTAGTTCGTCCTTTCTGGGCTCCTGGTGGCTCAGGGGAGATGGTTGAGTCAGCCCTGCTGCTCCAGAAGGACTTGCAGCTTTCCTGTGTTTGAGCCATTACAACAGCCTTCCTCCAGGAGTGTTGGATTGCAGCTCCCAGCAGCCAGCCTGACTGGGGATAATGGGAGCAACAGTCCAACACATCTGAAGGAAGCCATGTAGGGCAGAACTGTTACTACACAACAGTAAAGAAAACTTCCCCCACCATGCAAACTTGTAAGAGGGAAGACTATTAACCGGCACCAAAGAGGCAGCACTGAGCTCTGAGGGCTTATGCTTAGAGGGGTCCGAGAGCATGAAATGACAGCTGGAGGGAATTTAGTTAAAATGGGAGAATGAGGGAGCCTAGCTAAGTGGGAATCAGTTCAGAGCTAGAGGCCCTTTTGAGACATCTCCCTTGGAACCCCCTTGACTTCCTGCCTGCCCTCCACCCAGGCCCGATACTGGTAATCCACGCATTCCTAAAACTAAAACCTGAGAAGAGCCCATACGAACCCCCTGCCTACAAACAGAAGACATGCACCCCCATCCTCCCAGGGTGAATCCACCACTGACCCTTCTCAATGACAGAGTTTTATGCACCCCACAGCCTTCAACCGAAACTGCTGCTCGCAAGAGAGGGTGCTGTTGTTGCCTGAGAAGTTGTATTGTGAAATTTTAACACAGCTTATAGAAAAAAGGGGAAGAAGTAACTATAGATCTGACTATATGAATTGCAATGCAAGGATAGGAAATGAGGAGAGGGAAATATATATTTAAACACACATATACACGTATATATCACACACATGAAAATAGGGGTAAGAATTATACATCAACTTCAACAAAGGCAGACCAAAGATGTACAGCCATATCCATTCACAAGCAGAATCTACAGTATATACAACCCATTCAAAAGTTGAAAGTGTTGCTGGTCTTCAAGCTAAGGCATTCTGTGAAGTGAGAGTTTATCCTTCCACTGCTATAATTTCAAGAGGATGCAAAGAATGTAATTGCATTGTCTAGGTATTAAATTCCAGGACACACGTAGATAATTTAAAAGGACATGTACATCACTAAACATTAAGTGTTGCAATACATATGGTTAAACCATTAACAATTAGTTCACGATAGCATCAGTTTTGTTACATCTCCAGCAATTATCCAACTTGTGCGGATCTTTGTTAAAGAGGTGCTGCAATGTCCAATTCACGCAGAAGATGACTTTTGGTGGAATAACTTGCGACACAGAAATGCTTTCAGCACTAAAGCAGAAATTCACTGGTTTGGCAAAATGGGACCAGCCAATTCCCTTTTCCAGTCCCAATAAAGGTCGTGTGCATTGTATTTGTACAATAGATTCTGCATTGATGTAACTATTTTTAAAAAACGAACCTTAGTCAGTATGATTGACTGGCCTCCATCTTGCAGGTCCAAACCTCAGTTCTAACAAATATTGCTTTTCAGTAGTAGAGGACAAGCCATATTTGGCACACAAAGCCAAGAATGACAAAAAATCACTCATTAGTTGATCCAAAGTAAAAATCAAGTCTGCCACCCACAGGCAAATAAATGTAATTTTTAACTTGGTGTTCTCCCATAGAGTTCATGCAGAAGGAGAAAATGAAACTGAGGTGACATTATAGGACAGACAGCTGTAACTGTGGGAGGAGCATCTCATGCCATGAGTTTTAGAGAGAGGATCCAGAAAAAAAATCCAAAACTGACTAGGAGAGAAAAACTTATGTAGAGAAGAAAAGACCATGTGTGAGGGTAGAAAGCAGGGTTTAGGAAGAGTTTGATTTTTGAAAATTCTCTATTTTCTGCAGTCCCAACACACTGGAGAAGATTTAAGGGGCCGCAAGGGGTTCTAAAAGGCAAGATATGTAAAACTCAGATTCTCCACACCACTATAACGTAATGCTTTCTCACGACATACACATTTGGAAATCAGTCATATTTTTTACAAATCGTTTGACAAAATTAAAAACAGAATATGGAAACGGAGTTTTTAATGTAATCACCACTGTATATGGTGAATATTTATTCCAAGTTGCTTTTCACACATTAGGCATTGATACAGTTTTCTGATATATAGTAATTTCACAAAAAAGAGCAGAATTACATTTTCTCTATTTCAGTGCTTTTTGTTTTACATAAAGTATTTCATCTTCACAAAAGTTTCCGTTCACTGAAGCACATTTCCGCAGTGCCTGCCCAAGACGCATACCTCATCCCCACACGTGCCTGCGCACCCTTTATCTATTGCTAATGGTCTTCCTAGAATGAAGACATTTCTCACTCTTTCTCAATGTGAATCTTCTCACATTTCTAGAGACCTATTTTAGAGAAACAGCTTTTACAGAAGTAGGAGCATTTCTACTCATTCTCCCCCACAAGACTATTTGATGTGATCAGAGAAATGAGGCAGAGGCCGTTCCGTTAGTTGTCCTGTGAGGTTTCTCTGACGTGGGCCCTGCTCTCAGCTCTTCTTAATCTTCAGCCACTTCAGTCGTATCTCTGGTTCTGAGCCCCAGATGGAGGCCAAGGACTCTGAGGGAGTTGCTAACCAAGGCAAGGTGTGAGGAAGGCCGAGGATATCTGCCTGACACAGATGCACAGTCGCAGCTGATTCCACCTCCATGCCAGTTTACAGCTGATTGCCCATGTTTATTTTCCTTTTTATTCCACCTAATAGCAGGAGTTCTCGGGATGATTCACAATAATTCACTAAAAATACAGCATAAAATTCTAAGATACAAAATTTAAAAATAGAATTTAGAAGCATTTGAGGAAATAAAAGATTGATTGCAATACATATGGACTGACATAAAAGTCCTCTGTATGACATGAAATGCCACTGAATCCCTTTGCAGAAGTTAGCATTCTTAACGTGGCCCTGAAGAACTCTAAAAAGCTCTGCTAGCAGCACACGGGAATGGAATGCAGGTAATGAGATGTTCTTTGCTGCCCTCTCTGCCCTTACAGGTACTTGATTATAGGCACATACCAGAGTTCCACTGCATATACTCAGACATTTTTCTCCATCTGCTCCGTTTCCCACTTTGTCTCATCACTCTCAGCTCTTGGACACACCATAAAATCCTAAAAGCTCTAGTGCAGAGATGCTACTCAGATGCTGTGGCCATATCTGCTGTGAACACCCCTAAACAGGGGCAGGCATCTTATGAGGTCCCCTAGCCCCATGGGTGGGGGGGGGGGAATAGCCCCTGTCTTCCTGAACTTCAATAGGCATTGATCTGACCAATGGGAGTAAATCCAAGTCCCCCACCTTCAGATCACCACCCCCTGACCAGCTGAAAACCACCGGGCGAGAGTGTGCCCGGCCTTGAGTGCTGGCGCACTTGCAGGTTGGCTCATGGAGGCCATGAAATCCTGAGCTGGAATGAGAGGGCCTTACTCATGCGTGTGCTCTGGGCGAAAGGGTATTCGGGGAACCAGGTGGGCTTCCCCGTCGTGGCTCTGAGTGTCCCACCTGATGCACTGCCACTGCTGCTCTCCGGAGCCGTTGGTGGAACGGGAGTCAGGACCCAGCAAGGGGTCCGACGCTTTGCTGGGCACCCCAGATAAGGCATCACTGTCTAAGGATCCCTCAGGTTGGGCCGCATCCTCTTTAGAAGACGATTCTTCGGAGGAGTCGGACTCCTCCTCTTCCGAAGAGGTCTCTCTGTGAATTTTTTGATGTGAAGCAAGGTATTCCCTTCGGTTGAAGCTCTTCCCGCACTCCAAGCATTTAAATGGCTTGTTTCCTGTGTGAATTCCTTGATGTAAGGAAAAGTACGATTTCCGCCTGAAGCTCTTCCCACACACCAAGCACTTATAGGGTTTCTCTGCTGTGTGAATTCTTTTATGAAGTTTAAGATACTGTCTTCGGCTGAAGCTCTTCCCACACTCCATGCACTTGTATGGTTTCTCCCCTCTGTGGGTTATCTGATGCAAAGCAAGATATGCCTTCCGACTGAAATTCTTTCCACACTCAGAGCATTTGAATGGCTTTTCTGCTGTGTGAGTGGTTTGATGTAACTTAAGAGATGCTCTTACGCTAAAGCTCTTTCCACACTCCAAACACTTGTATGGTTTCTCTCGTGTGTGAGTTTTTTGATGTAAAGAAAGGCATGCCTTCCAACTGAAACTCTTTCCACAGTCCGAGCATTTAAATGGTTTCTCACCTGTGTGAGTTCTCCGATGACGATGAAGGATACCACTCTGGTAGAATCGCTTTCCACACACCAAGCACTGATAGGGCTTCTCACCTGTGTGAGTCCTTTGGTGGCAATTAAGGACACTTCTCTGATAGAATCTCTTTCCACACACTGAGCATTTGAATGGTTTCTCCCCTGTGTGTGTTCTTTGATGACGATTAAGGGCACCGCTCTGGTAGAAACTCTTTCCGCACACCAGGCATTGATAGGGTTTCTCCCCTGTATGAGTTCTTTGATGGAAATTAAAGGAAGATTTCTGCTTGAAGTTCTTGCCACACTCTAGGCATCTATACAGCTCTTCCCCAATGTGAACTATTTTATGAGTTCTCAGAGCACGGCTGTCACTGAAGGTCTTTCCACACTGCAGACATTTAAAAGACTTCTCTTCTATATGAATTCTTTGATGTGAAGCAAGCTGATGCTTCAGGCTGAAGCTCTTTCCACACTCCAAACATTTGAATGGTTTCTCTTCTGTGTGAATTAACTGGTGACTGGAAAGACTTTGCCTGTGTATGAAGGTCTTTCCGCATAGCAGACATTCAAAAGGTTTTTCTCCTGTGTGAATTCTCTGATGTGAAATAAGGTGATGCTTCCGGATGAAGCTCATTCCGCACTCCAGGCATTTAAACGGGTTGTCTTCTGTATGGATTATCTGATGGCTCATCAGGTTATGTCTGTGAATGAAGCTTCTTCCACACTGCAGACACTGAAATGGTTTCTTTCCTGTGTGTGTTATCTGATGTGACACCAGGGCAGGCTCCCTGCTGAAGCTTTTTCCACACTCTAGGCATTTAAATGGGTTGTCTGTTGCGTGAATGATCTGATGAGTAGTAAGGCTTATTTTCCGAGCAAAACTCTTTCCACACTGCAGACATTCAAATGGTTTTTCTCCTGTGTGCATTCTTTGATGTGAAGCAAGGTGATGCTTCTGGCTGAAGCTCTTTCCACAGTGTGGGCATTTAAATGGATTGTCTTCTGTGTGAATTATCTGATGGCGAGTTAGGCTTGTCTTGAGACGGAAGCTCTTTCCACACTGCAAACATTCAAATGGCTTCTCTCCTGTGTGAAGTCTCTGATGTGAAGCAAGAATGTCCTCCCGGCTGAAGCCCTTTCCACATTCTAGACATTTAAATGGGTTGTCTTCTGTATGAATTATCTGATGACTAGTAAGGCTGCTTTTCTGAGTGAAGCTCTTCCCACACTGCAAACATTCAAATGGTTTCTCCCCTGTGTGTGTTCTCTGATGTATAATCAGCTTGCTTTTGTGTCTGAAGGTCTTACTACAGTCCAGGCATTTAAATGGTTTCTCCTCGGTGTGAGTTCTCTGATGTGCATGAAGGGCTCCACTCTGGCAGAATCTCCTTCCACACTCCAAGCATTTAAATGGTTTCTCCCCTGAGTGTATTCTTTGATGGGTGGTAAGTGATGTCTTCTGACTAAAGGATTTCCCACACTGCAGACAACTAAATGGTTTCTCCCCAGTGTGTGTTCTGTGGTGGTTGAGAAGTTCTGTACTCCGCGTGAAACCCTTTCCACACTCAAGGCATTTGTATCGCTTGTTCGCTTTATGTGTTGAACTATGGTCATCAAGGGTAGACTTACGTGCAAACATTTTTTCGTGCCCAGAGTGTTTCTTTTCTCTGGGCGTATTGTCTCGTACCATCATTGCATGGGTGTCGGTGTTCTTCTCTGATTCAATCCTCTCTTTATTTCTTTGCTTTTCCTCTTGCTCATTGGTCCCATCCTGTTTTCCAGCACTTTCTGCCACATCTGGACACTGCTTGCTCTCCTTGAATAGTTGTGATGTTTCTCTTGTTTGATCCCACTGATCGCCAGCTGAAACAAAGAAAGAAATGTTAGTGCAAAGGAGAAAGGCGATTGCAGAACAAGAAATCAATTTTTCTTCCCCTTAGAAAATAACAGTTCAGTATCCTAAATTCATTCAAGCATAATCTCCACAAGAGAATTTCAGGGAAACCAGGAAGGTTGAAACCACAGGAATGCTGAATTTAACAATTCTTCATTGTCCTCCCATGTTGACAAATGGAGGCGAAAAAATTCACAAGTGAAAGATTTTCAAAAAAAGCAGCATCTACTTCAACTAGGCTGAGTGCAGAGCAGCTTCCTGCACTGCAGGAAAAAAAAATCAAAATACTTGCCCAGGTGACGTACATTTCCATTCAGTGAAGCTGCTGCCATGAAGAGTGTTTGCCCATTTGGTTCCAAAAATAAATATCCAGATCATTTATTTATTTCTCTATCTATTGATTTATATCCTGCCTTGTTCCTACAAAGGGCTCAAGGCAGCTTACATCATTCTCCTCCTCCATCTTATCCCCACAACAACAACCCTGTGAGGTAGGTTGGGCTGAGAGACTGTGACTGGCCCAAAGTCACCCAGTTGGCTCCATGGCTGAGCGGGGACTCGAACCCAGATTGCCTGAGTCCCAATCCCATCCAACCACTGCACCACACTGGCTCTCCATGACAGAAAAGCAGCCCTCAGATCATGGCAGAAAAGCAGCCCTCAGCTTAACAAGGCCAGGCTTCGGGCAAGACAACATTCACAGGGGCTTTCCTGACCCCGCCTCACCTCTGAGCCAGGACTGCTTTTTGCACTGCTGTGCACACACCCCACTGCATGTTCTCCAAACCTTGCACCCATCTTCCTGTCACTTAACATGCTGGCCCGAAGAATTCAGGAAGAAGTGTTTTGACTTCCTGGAAGAGACACATTATGGGTCCATTGTGAAGGATGCTAGAAAAGTAAGTTCATTCCAGGAATGTGAATATTCTGTGTAAATGTAATCGTTCATGATGGACATTTACTGAATATTGTACATTTGTGCCTTTTATGTAAGGCATTTAAAATAGATCAAGTACAAACGTTATGGTAATACAGAATTGAAAATAAAATTGCCTATTATTATTATTATTATATTTCTATGCCGCCCCTTGCCTATATGATACCGCTCTTATGAAAGTCTATGGCTTGACTGCCCTTAGAAAATTGTGTGCAGTTCTCGTTACTGCGCTCAAAAAAGAGTATTTTACAGTTGGGAAAATGCAACTAAACTGACCAGTGGGTTGGGCACAACTCACCTAGGATGCTGTATATAAAGTAGATGGAAAAATACTTTCCCCTCTCTCTCACAATACCAGAAACCTGGCTCATCCCAGGAAACTAATTTTTGGGAGATGCAGGACAGATAAAAATAATTCCTTCTTCACATAATGCATAATTCAAATATGGCATGCCCTGCCACAGCAAGCAGTGATGGCAACCGCTTTGGAAGCCTTTAATGGGTGTTGGCCAAATTCATGGGGAGGAAGACTATAAATGGCTACCGGTCTTGATGGCTATATGCCAGCTCCATTATCAGATCCAACATATGCACACCCATTGCTGGGATATATTATGGCTGGGAAAGGAAGCTTGCTCGTGGATTTCATGGAGGTAGCTGGCTAATGTGTGGGGGGAAACGCTGAACTAGACATACCACTGGTCTGATTCCGCAGGGCTGCTCTTAGATTTAACACTATTAGCTTAAGCAATTCTATTCATGATTCATGTTAAAAAAACAGGGTTGTTTTTTTAACATGAACAGGCTGGAATTCAAATAGAGAAGGTGAACACAGCTGATGTTGTTGTTAGTCGCGAAGTCGTGTCCGACCCATCGCGACCCCGTGGACAACACTCCTGCAGGCCTTCCTGTCCCCCACCATCCCCCGGAGGCCACTCAAGCTCACACCCACTGCTTCAGTGACCCCATGCAGCCACCCCATCCTCTGCCGCCCCCTCCTTCTTTTGCCCTCAATTGTTCCCAGCATCAGGCTCTTCTCCAGGGAGTCCTTCCTTCTCATTAGGTATTATTATAATACAATAATTAAGGCAAAGCTGCAAGGGCTTTACTAACCTATCTTCCTCATCAAGAGGAATCTGTCTTTTAATGAGAAGATTCCTTTGGGGGGGGGAACTGTTGCCAGTTGCAGCACCCAGAAACAGCCCAAAAGTAGTTGGCCGAGGAAGGCCCCAAGGGGGAGGCCACATAGGAAAAACACCACAGTTATACTGTCCCAGAAGGGAGGGGGATAAGAACAAAATGAACTTTGTGTAACCCACAGCGAACACGCTAGCCTGACCTCAAATACGGTAATCAACGGGGCAGTGGAAACTGGTTCCAGCCGCCATGCAAGTTGGAAATGTGCAGGGAGTAAGAACATGGCAAGCCTGTGTGAATCTCGAGCAGATAAGAAACAGACATGGGAAATGCCTGGTCCTTGGCAGAAGAAAGGACTCTTTCTCCAGCATGGGAGGGGGTGCATACATTGTTGGATCGATGTATCAGATATGCATCAGGTGACTGCCTCAGTGACTCCATCCAGCCACCCCATCCTCTGCCATCTCCTCCTTCTTTGCCATCTATTGTTCCCAGCATTAGGCTCTTCTCCAGGGAGTCCTTCCTTCTCATCAGGTGGCCAAAGTACTTGAGTTTCATCTTCAGGATCTGGCCTTCTAAAGAGCAGTCAGGGTTGGTCTCCTCTAGGACTGACCGGTTTGACCACCTTGCAGTCCAAGGGACTCACAGGAGTCTCCTCCAGCACCACAATTCAAAGGCCTCAAACCTTTGGTGCTCAGCCTTCCTTATGGTCCAGCTTTCACAGCCATACACTGCAACTGGGAAAACCATAGCCTTGACTATACACACTTTTGTTGGCAGGGTGATGTCTCTGCTTTTTAGTATACTATCTAGATTTGCCATAGCTTTCTTCCCCAAGAGCAAGCGTCTTTTAATTTCTTGGCTGCAGTCCCCATCTGCAGTGATCTTGGAGGCCAAGAAAATAAAATCTGTCACTAACACAGGTGATAGACCATGGAAAATCTACATATAACATTTTCTCCCAACATGGACTCCAAGAGCATCTCATTCACACTTCATATTTATTTGCCACATTCTGGTCAAGGCAGTACCCCAGAGAAACTCACAATAACACATGGAGCTTACTGAAAGCAACCGATAAGGGGCCCCAAAACAGAAAAGAAGAGGCATCCAGCATTGGCCCTAAGAACAATCCAGCAAGAGACACACACTACTAGCTCTTGAAACACAGTAACCTTTCCTATCAATAGAAGAACTGATGGACCGTGGACATACCACACTTCCTGGGATAGGGACTGGAGAGCTGCTCCACAGAAGATTCTATTACAGTTACTTCTATGATGAGCCCCAACTAAAAGAGGCACAGTTAGAATTCTTCTTCTGAAAAGCTGGAGAGTCACCATCAGTTGGTGAGGACAGATTAAATGAGCCAGTGCTCTGGATGCTCAGAAGTTTCCTGCACTCATAGTAAACAACAAAGTTCAGGAATGTGCTCTGAACAATGGATTTCTGACAGCAACCTGGCAGCAGCCACCTGCCATGAACACATTATTACAGCTAATCCCCAGGCAAGCCACAGTGACATGTGGCACCATCAGAATTCCTCCTCCTGAGGGCCCTCACTTAGAATCATCCACATGCAAGAAACAAGACACCCATTCCCCCACTTATTCATTTATTTATTGCATTTATATACCACCCCAATAGCCCAGAGGGTTTTCTGGGTGGTTTACAGGCATTAAAACCCCAAATACAATGTCCAGTCCTAAATAAATAAATTGGCTACACCACGACTGAGTATAAAATAACATAGTTAAAATGAATTAAATGACTAAATATACAATTAAAATTAACTTTAAATATTGGTCAAATAAAAAGGTCTTGACCTGACACCGAAATGCATATAATGACTTACCAATGTCTGAGTTAAAACAACCCTGATCCACAGAAAACTTTAAAGTTGATAAAGTCAACTTTAAAAAATTCAGGGCAATGATAAACAAAGTCCCATGGCAAGCCACTCTAAAGGGAAAAGGAGCCAAGAAGGTGGGATATCTTGTGGGTGGGGGGGCGGGGCAGAGAAAAGAGATGATTAAGGCACAACTACAAACAATTCCAACGAGGGAAAAGGGTAGTAGACAACAGAGGAAGCCTATGTAGCTTCACGAAAAGCTAAGAAATCATCTGCAAACAAAAAGGGCGTGTATAGGACGTAAAAGGCAGGCCAGGCTACAAAGGAAGAATATAAACAAGTAGCAACCATTAGGTGGGTCCACAATTGGCTGCAAAATTGGACCCACAGAGTCCTCATCACTGGCGCACTCTCAAAATGGGGAGTGGTGACGAGAGAGGTGCCACAGGTTCTGCCCTGAGGCTGGTACTCTTCAACATTTTCGTTAATGATTTAGATGAGAAAGTAAAAGGAAATATAATTAAATTTGCAGATGACACAAAGCTGAGTGGAATAGCAAATACCTTGGAGGACAGATAAGATACAGGATGATCTTGACGGGTTAGAATGCCGGGCAAAGAACAACAGAATGAAATTCGATAGGGACAAACGCCAAGTCCTCCACTTAGGAACAAGAAACCAAATGCACAGCTACAAGATGGGGAACCCTTGGCTCAACAATACTGCAGATGAGAAGGATCTTGGGGTTGTTGTAGACCACAAGCTGAATATGGTCCAACAATATGATGCAGCTGCAAAAAGGGCAATTTTGGGCTGCATTTACAGAAGTGTCACTTACAAATCACTTGAAGTACAGTACTAGTTCCCCTATACTCAGCAGTAGCCAGACCTCACCCGGAGTACTGTGTCCAGTTCTGATCACCTAAGTTTTAAAAGGATGCAGAAAAGCTAGAAAGGTATAAGAAGAGGAGGATAAGATGTCTTCTCATTCAGAGTGTGGGACATGGAATAATGGACTTAAGTTAAAAGAAACCAGATTTAGACAAGACAGCAGGAAGAATTTCCTCACTGTCAGAGCAGTACAACAATGAAACATATTACCTGGGCAAGTTGTGGGCTGTCTTGCTAGGGACATTCAAAAAGCGTCTGGACAGTCATCTGAATGAGATGGTGTAACTTACTGCCCTGCAAAGGAAGCGGGGTGGTCCTGATGGTCTTCTGGCCCCTTCCAACTCTACGGCCAAGTGCCCGACAGCAAGGAGCAAAAGGAAGAACAGGGAGGGAGGGAAGGAGGGTAAGGGGAGGAGGAGGGAAAAAGTGGTGAGCCATGCTGTGAGTAGGGATTAGTTTAATCATTTCACAGGGAGGACAAATTTAAATAACATTTCAATGAAACTCTTCTCAGTTCCTGTAGTTTTATTATTACTGCATTATTGTTATTAAACTGCTGAATTTAAGATGTTTTGGTGTATGTGGAAGTGTTTCTTAGTTGTTTTAATTGTGTTTTATATGTGTCATCTGTCTTACATACAAATTCAACTTAAGGACAATCTCAGGAATAGAACTCGTTCTTAATCTGGTGGCCAGATGTACTGTTAAAAAAAAGAACCTTGTTAATTGTAGCTATAGTCCGAAGCAGATTTGGATAACTTTGGAATGTTATCCGATGAAGGATTGCAAAGTGGGTGTTGCCAAAAAGTATTTTTGTTCCACTGTTGTTATTTGGTATCTCAGCTCTTTTGCAGGAGGTACCATGGATCTTATCCGCCTGCAAAGCAGCGATTAATGACATACTACGGGTTGGTCTTTTACCACGCCCACATCCGGAACATTTTTTCCCAGTCTGGTTTCACATCAACACAGAGTTTCTCTGAAACTCAAAATATACTCGGCCATAGCAGGATGTTTTCACATTCATCCTGAACTCTGTAGCCAAGAGGCCGATTTAAGCCTCAAGGGTCTGTGCAAATCCTGGCAGGGTGAGCAGGCTCGGCCCCTCTGCCCTCCCCAGGCTGGGGCTCTCCCGAAGTGCTGGAATAAAGTACTCATCGGCCGTGTTGGCTGGGGATTATGGGAGCTGCAGCCCAAAACGCATGGAGGGCGCTATACGGGGGTGGCTTCCTCTGCAGGCATCTCCCCCTTGCAGCTGCCCCGTCCTGTCCCTTCCCTCTCCTCCTTACCCCAAGCTTCCCACCGCCCCCGCGTCCCCAGGCTCCTGCCACAGCAACTGCTTTCGCGGGGCGCGCTTCCCGCTCCCCACACAGGCGCCTCGCTCCGTGGCAGCCCCCCAGGCCAGATCCCCCCCCCCCACCGCCGCCGCCGCCGCCGCCTACGAGGCCTGGGAGGATCCCGCCACAGCAACCGCGCTTTGGGTCCGCCTGGCAACCAGACTGCAGGGACCGAGTCTCCTCCCTCCCCCAAGATTTCGGAAGAGGGGCTGGGGGGGGGACTGCTCCCCCTCCGCCCGATCCGCGGGTGCCTCCTCCCGTCCCCTCCGCCACCGTACCTTCCATGCCGCTTCGCCCTTGCCGCCGACACCGCCCCCCCCCCCGTGGCCCCCCCCCCCGCCAGGAAACCTCCCCGATTTCCTTTGCGGGAGCTCGGGCGAGCACTTCCGCGTGCCCCAGCCCCGCCGGCGAACTTTCCTCTCTAGGAAGCGGCGCTCTGTTCCTTTAACCCTTGCGGGACTGAGCGGGAGAGGCACGGTCCGGCGGCCGGTCCCCGAGGAGGGAGGCTGCCTGCCTGCGTCTTTGCTCCATCCGTCCCAGCCGGCGGCCCACTGCGCCTGCTGGCTGGGGACGATGGGATATACGGTTCCGCAATATTTCAGGCGGGCGATACCGGCCTGCGGATGTTTCCTCGTGAGAAGGGGAGGCCACCGCGTGTGGGAAGAGCTTGGAATGGTTGGTCGCCGGACGCCCTCCCGCCGTGCTGGATCGTGACTGCTGGGGAAATTTAAATCATCCTGGCAGAAAAACGTTGCTTATGGAAAAACAAACCCGCACCTCTTTCTCGCAAAGCACCAGCTTTCCAGGCCAAGTCACTGTTTTATATTGCTGTTGCCTTAAGAAGGTGGCATTCTTAGCTAGACTGAGAAGCCGCATTAATACCTGCCTTCTTAGCAGCTGTAGAAAAACTGAAATAAAGCTGTCCATTGGTTTCTGAGTGGGCCCACCTAAACAGAGGCAAGCTCCTGCTGAGTTTGTTGCCCAGCCAGACTACCTGAAGGGCTCCTCCATCAGACACAGTTGCATGTTTAAGCAGGATCCAAACTGCAAAGAAATCCACTCAACTGACAGGTCAATAAAGCAATCAGTAATGTTTTCCATGCCGTTGTTACCGATATTTCTGATCAGTTTAGAGCATTATGTCATGCCTAAAGACATCGGGATGCTATTGTACTGAGATTATCTGGAAACTTAATTCTCTGTATTGGTGTACCTAACTAGTAGGTGTGGCGTAGTGGTTAAGAGCATGGGACTGGGGCTCAGCCATGGAGCCAACTGGGTGACTTTGGGCCAGTCACAGACTCTCAGCCCAACCTACCTCACAGGGTTGTTGTTGTGGGGATAAGATGGAGGAGGAGATGGAAGCTGCCTTGACCCCTTTGTAGGAAAAAGGCAGGATATAAATTGAAAAATAAATTGAAAAATAAATAAATAGAAGTGTCTGTAAGTGGGCTGAGATCTTGCAGTTGAGTTTACCTCTACCCAGTAGTGCATTATCTTTAGTTAGACTACAGGTATCTGGGGCACCGGACAATAAAGCGGCAGAGGTTCAAACGGTTGATCTTTCCCCAGAACCCAAGTGTTTATTTCCTCCTCACAAATTGGAACCGAGATCTTGTCACAGCTCCCATCATGGGGATTGCAATAAGAATTCTCCATCTCCATTGAGTTCTCACGGATCCTGCACAGTTATTTCCTTCCTTCCCTCTTGAGCTCCCAGATGCCTCTAAATCTGCCCCAGAGCCTTGGGTAAGCCCCTGAAAGGGGGGATTTGGAGAAATTCTGCCAAAAAACTGCTGCCCTCCACCCCCACTTACATAGGACTTGTGTCACTAGGCAAACCGGAGGAAGAGGTTCAGCAGAAGGCCGCTGAGGACAGTCACCAGGAATGGCTGCACTGGGCCTCCAAATCCATCCCTGGCTTCCAGAGTGGATGCTGCACCTTGAAATGGTCTGGCAAGGAAACAGGCACCCATGTTAGCCTTGATGTACTTTAATTGTGCAGTGCCACTTTAAGAAATTGGCTTAAAATAGCTCTGAATAGTCTTCAAGGGCAGCCCCATGGATAGCCCGTTGTAGTAGTCCAGTGGCATATTGAGGTTCCTTGTTCCTATTGCTAGTCGTGAAGTCGCATCCAACCCTTTGCAACCCCATGGACAACATTCCTCCAGGCCTTCCTGTCCTCCTCCATCCCCTGGAGTCCACTCAGGCTGACACCCACTGCCCCAGTGACTCCATCCAGCCCCCTCATCCTCTGCCGTCCCCTCCTTCTTTTGCCATCTATTGTTCCCAGCATTAGGCTCTTCTCCAGGAAGTCCCTCCTTCTCATTAGGTAGCCAAAGTGTTTGAGTTTCATCCTCAGGATCTGGCCTTCTAAGGAGCAGTCAGGGTTGGTCTCCTCTCGGACTGACCGGTTTGATCGCCTTGCGGTCCAAGGGACTCGCAGGAATCTCCTCCAGCACCACAATCCTTTTGTGCTCAGCCCTCCTTATGGTCCAGCTTTCACAGCCATACATTGCAACTGGGAAAACCATAGGCTTGACTATACGCACTTTTGTTGGCAGGGCGATGTCTCTGCTTTTTAGGATGCTGTCTAGATTTGCCATAGCTTTCCTCCCCAGGAGCAAGCGTCTTTCAATTTCTTGGCTGCAGTCCCCATCTGCAGTGATCTTGGAGCTCTGGAAAATATAATCTGTCACTACCTCCATTTCTTCCCCATCTATTTGCCTGGAAGTGAGAGGACCGGATGCCATGATCTTAGTTTTCTCAATGTTGAGTTTCAATCCAACTTTTGCGCTCTCCTCCTTCACCCGCATCCACAGGTCCTTTAGTTCCTCTTCACTTTCCGCCAGTAGAGTGGTAACATCTGCAGATATGCAGAGGTTCCTTAGGGGAACCTGATAACATCGCGACTGGCACTGCTGTCTGAAACTGAAATGGTCCCGCTTGTCCTGCAGGCACCTGGCGGCACGGGTTGGTTTTTCCGCCCGGCTGACGCCTCCTGCGGCAGGTTCACTTCTTGATCCGCTACCCGCCTCCCGCATGGCGGGAGTTACCGTTCGCGGGAGGCTAATCCAGTTCCATTCTATTGCCTGTCCCAATCCAAGTTTCCTTCCCGGGAAACTCCGCGGGCGGAAAGTCCACGCAGGAGGGAGGCGGCCCGGCTCCTGCGCCTCAGTCGCCGCTGGGTTAAAGGAGACGATTAGTGCTTCCTAGAGCGGCAGGGAGTGCCGGATCTGGGCCGAGGCACTCGGAAGTGCCCCCGCTCTTGCACTCGCGGAAGGGAAATCGGCCGGGAGGTCTGCGCCGAGAGGAGGCGGCGGCGGCGGAGGAGGAGGAGGAGGAGAGGTGAGGTGAGGGGCTCGCGTGGCCCGGGCGGAGGCGGCAGGAGCGGCGCCCGGAGGTCCCGGTGAGGGAAGGCCGGGCGGGGCATGGGCGGGGGGACGTGCTTCCCGCCGTGCGAGCGTCCAGCGGAGCCCGCAGCGTCGCCCTCAAAGACCCACCCGGGCCCGCGGGGGCGGGTCCTGCGCGGCGAGGGGAAAGCCGGGAAGGGACACTGGGAGTGTGGCGATCCGAGCAGGGCAGTCTTCTTCCTCGTGTGCTCGTGCCCCAGAAGTGCTGCACTACACCCCCATCATCCCCAGCCATCATGGCCGGTAGGAGTTGTAGTCCTATCTGGGGGGCACCCTGTTGGGGAAGACAAGGTGTCTGACATGTGCCAGTCACCCGACCTGAGGTCACAAATAACTTTTGAGGCAAAAATCTCCCCTTGTTCTTGAGCTCGGTTGCACCTGCCGTTGGACTTACCTCTTTGCATTCTTGGAAACGGCAGAGAATCAAGTGTGTTTTTCCAAAATTGTACAATAATAAATACAGATCCTGCCCCAAGAGTGCTTCTTGGGAAGATATTACCCTGAAGGATTCAACATTTGCTGTATGTCGAATTTTCCCAAGTGCCAGTAACTTCATATAACGTACAGGGTGTTTCCGGGTTTTAATTGTAATTGTTATTTATATTGTATTTATTTATTTCTGTGAGCTGTCCTGAGGCTATATAGCAAGGGGACAGCATATAAAAACTATAAATAAATAAATAAATAAATAAATACATACATACATACATACATACATACATACATACAAAAATGCAAGTTAGGGATTTATTTCCTCTTAGGCAAATACACGAGATGTTACTCATTCTTCAGTGTTGTATTCCTGCATCACAATAGGGCAGGAGGGTAAGTTGAGTTTCAGAGAACTTTCCCTCTGTGTTGATGTGAAACAAGGGTGAGGAAAGAAATAGTCCTGGTGTGGATTGGAAGAAGCCCAGCCCTCTCATCACCAGTTTGTGGGCAGATGAGATTCCATGATGTCCCCTGCAAAAGAGCTGAAATATCCTGGAATTTGGCAACATTCCCTTTCCAATTCTCTAACTGATAACATTCCAGAGTTAACCTGATCTGTTTTGGACCATACGTTCAACTAATAAGGCGCATATTTAGCCCTAGAAAGAACAGATGATTTTTTTTTATTTGATGATGAGGAATTAAGATCTGGTTTTACCAGTATTGTTTCTTCTGTTTGGATGTTTTAAGTAATGGATTTTGTGGTTCTCAGGAGGAGGAATTCTTGGTTTGCCTCAAGCACACCCATAATTGAGTGTTCAGTGCAAATTGCTGTTGTCAGGTAGATATCAGTTGATGTCCGGGCCCAATTCACTTGTGTTTAAAGCCCTAGATGGATTGAATCCAGGGTATCTGAAAGAACACCTTCTCCCATATGAACGTAGCCGGCACCTTAGATATGCATCTGAGACCTTTCTGAAGGAACCCCCTCCTCAGGAAATAAGGAGGGTGGTAACACAAGGCAGGGCCTTTCCTGCAGTGGCACCCCTTCTCTGGAACGAGCTCCCCAGAGAGCCTTCTTTACATTCTTTTAAGCACCAGGCAAAAACCTTTTTATTTCAATGGTATTTTAATTCTTACCTTGCTTTAAGTAGCATTTTAACTGTGGGTATGTAATTAATTTTCTATATCTTATAATGGTTTTAATTTTTTTAATTTTAAATTGTTTTATGTTGTATTTTAATCTGTACATCACTCTATTTTGTATTTTATTTTGTATTTTGCTATTGGAACCCTTCCAGGGAGGCTAAGGAGCGGGCTAGAAATCAAATAAATAAAATTTCAGAAATCCACTGTTCAAAGCAAATTTCTATAGAGCACTCTATTATTTGGCATTTACTATGAGTGCAGGAAGCTTCCGAAGATCCTGCATCAATCCACTGGTTCATCTAATCTAGTATTGTTGGCAGTGATTGGCTCCAGCATTTCAAGCTGCATTTTAGTGCCATTAGCTGGGAATGCTGGAGATTGAAGTCCTCCCACGAGAAGCTGACCATGTTGTTCCCCTCTTATATTGATAAGGAAGACTGCCCAGTATCAGTGAGACACTAAAATGTTCCCTTTGCCAGATTATATTTAGAACTGATGCTGGATACATCTTATTTTCTGTCTGGTTTTGATGCTCCTTATTTGGGTGATGTTTTTAGTGAGTTCTTGGTATTACTATTATTGTGAGCCTCCTTTAGGAACTGCTTTGACTAGGAAGCAGCAAATTTGTGAGCAACCTTGCTTTCTGTCAGATCTTCTGTGAAGTGTAAAGTGTAAGGGTGAAGTTCCAGAGGACTGGAGGGTGGCATCAGTGGTCCCAATTTTCAAAAAGGGTAGTAGAAGGGACATGGGGAATTACAGACCTGTTAGCCTTACGTCCATTGTAGGGAAAACAATGGAAAGGCTCATAATAGAGAGAGATCTAGTGATGCTAGATAGGGAAGGTTGTGTGACAGCCACGCAACACGGCTTCCGCAAAAACAGGTCCTGCCAGACAAACCTTGTGGAATTCTATGACAAGGTTTTGAGATGGCTGGATGGAGGGGATGCAGTGGATGTGGAATACCTGGATTTCAGCAAGGCCTTTGACAAAGTGCCCCATGATATCCTGGTGGAGAAACTGAGGAGTTTTGGGATACACCAAAGCACTGTCCGGTGGATTAGGGCATGGTTGACTGACGGAAAGCAGAAGGTAACCATTAGCGGGGAATCATCAGGATGGCAGCCAGTGACAAGCGGGGTCCCCCAGGGCTCTGTCCTGGGGCCGATCCTGTTTAATCTTTTCATTAATGACATGGAAGAAGGGGTGAACAGTCTGCTGATCAAATTCGCAGACGACACTAAAACTGGAGCAGTGGCCACAACTGAGGAGCAGGTACTCCAGATCCAAAAGGATCTGGACAGACTATGGAAGTGGGCAGGAGACAACAGGATGGCATTCAATGTGGATAAGTGCAAGGTCTTGCACTTGGGGCATAGGAATAACTGTCATAAGTACAGGTTAGGTGACAAATAGCTGGAGAGCAGCACTTGTGAAAAGGACCTCGGGGTGCTGGTTGACTGCAGGCTAAACATGAGCAGTGTGATGCAGTGGTCAAGAGGGCGAATGCCACCCTTGGTTGCATAGCCAGAAGTGTGGCTTCTAGATCAAGAGAGGTATTACTACCACTCTACACGACTCTGGTGTGCCCGCAACTGGAGTATTGTGCTCAGTTTTGGGCCCCTCATTACAGAAAGAATATAGCCAGGTTGGAGTCAATGCAGCGCAGGGCTACAAGGTTGGTGGCCGGTTTGCAGGGGATGCCATATGAGGCGAGACTGAGGGAACTGGGTCTCTTCAGCCTGGAGAAGAGGAGACTCAGAGGGGACATGTTGGCGACATTCAGGTATGTGAGGGGGTGTCACACGGAGGTGGGCCGAGACCTGTTCTCCCCTGCAGAGGAGGGCAGGATGCGCTTCAACGGAGTGAAGCTCAGGGAGCCAAGGTTCCATTTGGAGGCCAGGAAGCACTTCCTGACAGTCAGGACCCCGAGGGTGTGGAATGGGCTTCCAGGAGAGGTCGTTGAGGCCCCATCGGTGCGGGTGTTCAAGGATAGGCTGGACGTCCACATGGTGGGCATGTCGTGAGCGGAGCCAGCTGGAGCCGGGGGTCAGACTAGATGGCCCGGGAGGCCCCTTCTGACTCGCTCTGTTTCTGTGTTGCTATGTAAGTAAAACCTAATTGCTTTTCTGTGGCACTACCTGGTTTGCCCACCTATTCTAATTCTAGCCAGTGAATTTTAAAAACCATTTAAAATCAGATACGCTGGGGTATTTAAATCAGTAATGTCTACTCAAACTGCTAGCAGTTCTGCAGTATCTCAGGCTCTGGTGTTTTTCAGCTGTGCTTTTCCCTTTTCCCAGAAGTTTCTGGTGGTTGACTCTGGGCTCTGAGCAATTCTAGAGAGCAACATGTATTGATGACATCTAGCTTGAGTGCTCATGTAAGTGTGCCAGAAAAGCACATATTTCCATTTGTGTATCATGATATTTATTTGTATTAAAGGGTTTGCATATAGGACAAAGTCTTCAATCAAAGCAGTGGACAAAATTCAGAACAACTCATAATTCCTAATTATATTCATGTGGAAAAGTCCACATTCATGCAATGAACTTATTTTCCTACTGCCAGTCCATATGGAGCCAAAATATGTTTTCTCCTGTTAGCAACAAGAAGCAAAAGCTTTTCCTGATGGGATATTCATTGGACCAGCAAGACAAGTGACAGGAAGGTGATCCCTGATTGGGTTGGATGAAGAGGTCTCATTGCGATGAGTGTACAGTAGAGCATGAGAAATCAGGCCAGACACATGGCTCGGGGATAAGTACTCCTGGATCAAGAATGGCTCTGTGCGGGTTCTTGTCTTACCTAGATCATGGGCCTTCACAGCTGAGGGCTGCCCTGCTTTCTCAGTCCAGAACAGTGGTGGCAAACCTATGGCATGCATGCCGCGGTGGGCACACAGAGTCCTCTCTGTTGACACGCAAGCCAAGTCGCCCCGGCATCGCCCCAGCAGCCGAGCATCGGATAACAGCGCACAGAGGGGCCATGCGCATGCTCGGAAAGGAGTAGTGGTGCCAGGCATTGGCGTCATGTACCGTGACTCATTAGCCATGACTCGTCCTAGTTTTCACATGGCCGGTCAGTGCACTGCCAAGGAGATAGATAGATAGATAGATAGGGGTGTGTGTGTGTGTGTGTGTGTGTGTGTGTGTGTGTGTGTATTTGCTTGGACTGGCTGTGAGGTGTTTTTTCTAAACTAAAACCTCAGTATTCAGGTTTTATTGCAGTGTTGGCACTTTATTATTTATTTATTTATTAAAACATTTTTATGCCGCCCCATTCGCCGAAGCCTCGGGGCGGCTTACAACAATAAATTAAATAATTATAATCATAAATTAAAAATGTAAACATAAGAATAAAATACAACCATACAATATAAAATAAGCCGCCCTGGCCAGATAAAATTCAATAATATTAACATTTAAAATGCCGCTTAAATAAAAAGGTCTTCGCCTGGTGCCGAAAAACAAATAACGACGGCGCCAGGCGGACCTCTCTGGGGAGCGCATTCCATAACTTTGCAATAAATAAGTGGGTTTTGGGTTGCAGTTTGGGCACTCGGTCCCTAAAAGGTTTGCCATCACTGGTCTAGAAGATCCTTTTTGAAAGCAAATGGACAAGTGCTCCTGAATCTAAACATGCCGAGGCTGCAACAACCTCACTGAATCCAAATGAATGTGACCTTGGAAGGTATTCTGATTTCTTCACCAGTGGACAGTACCTCCTTCCTTTGTGTCTCTTTTGCTCAGATCAGGTGAAATAGGCATCATCTCCTTGCAGGTTGCTGATCATTCGTGTGTGTTTTTTTTTTAATCCTGCTTTCTTCACTGCAGGGGACAATGTGTAACCATTAAAATCCTTCTGGTTTCAGCATTCCTAATTTGAATTCCTGATCTTAATTTGGAGTCCTTGTTCCTGATCTCCCTTATGTCTGATCTCACTTTGTTCCATGATCTCACTCATGTTTGATTGGAGCTAACGTACCAGAGGTATTCTAGAGGTAGTTGATTGGAACTAGAAGTATTCTTTTCTAAGGGGTTGATTTGCAAATTCCTTGATTTGTACTCATTTTCTTTCTTTCTTTCAGCTACTGCAGGTGAAAGACCACATCAAGTGCCCAAAGAAAGGAAACAGTATCCAGACAGGGCAGAGAATGTTGGAATTAAGACAAAATGAATGAGCTGGATGGAAACCAAACAAAAATAGAGAAGAATGAATGTCTGGATGCTGATCCCCAAGCGACAATAGAAGAAGAAAAACCTCCCAGAGAAGAGAAAGATAAGAAATGTTCTGTACGTGGAAAACTTTTTGCTCGTAAATCAGCGCTTGATGACCAAAACCCAACACACAAGGCAAAGAAACGATACCAATGCCTTGAGTGTGGAAAGAGCTTCAAGAGGAGTACAGACCTTCTCAACCATCATAGAACACACACTGGGGAGAAACCATTTAGTTGCCTGGAATGTGGGAAATCCTTTAGTCAGAAGACGTCACTTACCACCCATCAAAGAATACACTCAGGGGAGAAACCATTTAAATGCTTGGAATGCGGAAAAAGATTTTGCCAGAGTGGTGCCCTTCAATCACATCAAAGGACTCACATAGAGGTGAAACCATTTCAATGCTTGGAATGTGGAAAGACTTTCAAACACAAAAGTAAGCTTAATATTCATCATAGAACACACACAGGGGAGAAACCATTTGAATGTTTGCAGTGTGGAAAGAGCTTCAGTCAGAAGAAGAGACTTCTTAGTCATCAGATAATTCACACCGAAAACAATCCATTTAAATGCCTCGAGTGCGGAAAGAGCTTCAGTCGAGAGGATGTCCTTGAATCACATCAGAGAATTCATACAGGAGAGAAACCTTTTGAATGTTTGCAGTGTGGAAAGAGCTTCTGCCTCAAGCCAAGCCTTACTCGCCATCAGAAAATTCACAAAGAAGATAACCCATTAAAATGCCTAGAGTGTGGAAAAAGCTTTATCCGGAAAGATCACTTTACTTCACATCGAAGAATTCATACGGGAGAAAAAGTGTATGAATGTTTGCAATGTGGAAAGACCTTCCTTCACAGGCAAAGCCTTTTTAGTCATCGGATAATTCACACAGATGGGAAACCATTTAAATGCCCGCAGTGTGGTGATATTTTTAGCCGGAAGCATCACCTTGCTTTACATCAACGTATCCACACAGAAGAGAAGTCTTTTAAATGTCTGCAGTGTGGGAAGACCTTCAGTGACAGTAATGCCCTCAAAACACATAAAACCGTGCACATCGGGGAAGAGCTGTATAAATGCCTAGAGTGTGGAAAGAGTTTCAAGTGGAAGGCCACCTTTAATTTCCACCAAAGAACTCACACTGGGGAGAAACCCTATCAGTGCTTGGACTGTGGCAAGAGATTCTACCGGAATGGTGCCCTGAAATGCCATCAGAGAACCCACACCGGGGAGAAACCCTATCAGTGCTTGGAGTGTGGAAAGAGCTTCAGTGTGAGGGAGACTCTGAAGCTGCACCAAACTACTCACACGGGGGAAAAACCATTTAAATGCATGGAGTGCGGAAAGAGCTTCAGTCGCAAGTCCTACTTTAATTCACATCAAAAAACTCACACAGGGGAGAAACCGTACAAATGCTTGGAATGTGGGAAGAGCTTCAGTTTAAGACAGTCTCTCTATTTTCATAAAAGAAGTCACACAGAGGGGAGTCCTTACCAATGCTCGGTGTGTGGAAAGAGCTTCAATGTGAGAGCATCTCTTAAATTACATCAGACCACTCACACAGGAGAAAAACCATACAAATGTGCGGAGTGTGGAAAGAGTTTCAGTCGGAAGGCCTACGTCTCTTTGCATCAGATAACCCACAGAGGGGAGAAACCATACAAGTGCATGGAGTGTGGGAAGAGCTTCAGCCGAAGACAGTACCTTTATTTTCATAAAAGAATTCACACAGCAGAGAAACCCTATAAGTGCTTGGTGTGTGGGAAGAGCTTCAGGCGGAAATCGTACTTTTCCTTACATCAAGGAATTCACACAGGAAACAAGCCATTTAAATGCTTGGAGTGCGGGAAGAGCTTCAACCGAAGGGAATACCTTGCTTCACATCAAAAAATTCACAGGGAGACCTCTTCGGAAGAGGAGGAGTCCGACTCCTCCGAAGAATCGTCTTCTAAAGAGGACGCGGCCCAACCTGAGGGATCCTTAGACAGTGATGCCTTATCTGGGGTGCCCAGCAAAGCGTCGGACCCCTTGCTGGGTCCTGACTCCCGTTCCACCAACGGCTCCGGAGAGCAGCAGTGGCAGTGCATCAGGTGGGACACTCAGAGCCACGACGGGGAAGCCCACCTGGTTCCCCGAATACCCTTTCGCCCAGAGCACACGCATGAGTAAGGCCCTCTCATTCCAGCTCAGGATTTCATGGCCTCCATGAGCCAACCTGCAAGTGTGCCAGCACTCAAGGCCGGGCACACTCTCGCCCGGTGGTTTTCAGCTGATCGGGGGGGGGTGATCTGAAGGTGGGGGACTTTGATTCAGTCTCTTTTTCATGCTCTGTTGAGGGTTAGGCAGAAAATCTCTCCCCTGCTCTGTGAAGCTGGGCAACCTTTTAAGCCACCTGCTTCCCAAGATTAATGGATCAAGAGGGTTTCCAGAGGTCTCTTGGGAGTTCCCTGGTAGATATGACTGGATCTGTGAGATGCAGGAGGGATCGATTTGGCTGACATGGTCACTTCTGGGTCATAGAGGTCCTATGCCTTTGTGGTAAACCTTGAAGTTGATAACCATAGAACCAAGAGGACTAGAGCCCTCATGGAGAAAAACTCTGAGTGAGTAGTCAGAGCCTAGTATGTGCCTCGAAGTAGGTATACCTAGAGGCAGTGAGCAGAGCAAGAAGCTTGGCGCCTCTGTTCAGTTTTCTATCAGCTTCCCAGCAGACCTTTTTAGCTTCGTTCAGGGCCTACTACATGTTGCCCCACGGACAGTGTAGTCCTTCCTGAAGCTCCCTGCAACATATTTGCTAGGCACTTCTGGGACAAAAGCCTTTTGCATCCTTTGGGACTGAGACTCCAGAGCTATGGGAGTAGAATCAGGTAGAGGTACCCAGGGTGTCGTCTTTTCCTGGGTGAGTTTCATCTGGTACAGCTCGAGAACCTGGTGCTTGGACAAGTTTGTGCAACCCACTTCTAGACTAGAAGCTTGCTCCTCTCGGCTTATTGAAACTAGCCCTATAATAATTGGGACCGGAACTTCCAAACATACAACACCAAGTCTGGCCCACCTGCATCGGCTGCCCATATGCTTCCAAGCCTGACTCAAGGCGCTGGTTCTAACCTATAAAGCCTTAAGCAGCACAGGACCACAGTACCTGATGGAGCACCTCTCATGACCTGACTCTGCTTGGGCACCACAATTAACACCTAAAGCTTTCCTCCAAGCCCAGCCTTCCAGGGAAGCTCAGAACACGGGGATAATGGGAAGGGCCTTTGCAGTCGTTGCCCCCCCCCCCCCGGCTTCCAAAAATATATCTCTAATGAGGCTTCCCTGGCCCCAACTCGGCTAATTCTTCAGTGCGAGGTTAAGCATGCCCGCTTCTCCAAGGCTTTCTGTGGTAGGCAATGCCATCTGGGGGAGCTCTTTTGTCAGTCTACACATGTTGAGATAATTCTTTCAGCTGCTCAAATACTTTAAAATCCTATTTTAAATTTTGCAGATTAGAAGTTTATGCTGTTTTGTATTGTGCATTGTGTTTTTTTTTAATGAATTGATCTGAATCGCCTGAAGAGCTTCAGTTATTGGGCGGTATAAAAATGAAATGAATGAGGATGATACTCAGGAACCAGGACTTACTTATGAGGAGGCAGACTCAGCTGTAACTCCTGAACCTGCAGGCAGCCAGCAGACTCCCTCGGCCCTTTTCTCCCATGGTGTCTTGGCTACTATATACAAAGTATATATACTGGGCCAGGGTATGGTCTGAAGGAACTTAAGACACCCCCCCCCCCATGTTGGAGCTAAGCAGGTCTGGGCTGGCCTGAGCTTGGAGGGGAGGCCACCGGGGAACCACATGTATCCACACTGAGTTGCACAGTGGGAGAAAGGCAGGGTACAAATATAATAAGTAATCATAGAATAGTAGAGGTGGGAGGGGCCAGAAGGCCATCAAGTCCAACCCCCTGCTATTGCAGGGCACCACACCATTCAAATAACTGTCCAGTCTCTTTCTGAATGCCTCTAGTGTGGGAGAGCCCACAAGCTCCCTAGGTGAAAGGCTCCATTGTCATACTGCTCTGATGATGAGGAAACTTCTCCTGGTATCAAGGTAGAATCTGGTTTCCTGTAACTTAAGTTCACGACCTGTACTCTGGGACGATCAAGGAGAGATCTTCTCCTCTGTAACAGCGCCTTCTTCTTTGTACCTTCTTTTAAGGTACTTGCAGAGTGCTATCATATCACCATTCAAACTTCTCTTCTCAAAGCTGAACATGTCCAGTTCTCCCAATCGTTCCTCCTGGATCTTTGCCTCCAGTCCCTCAGTCTGCCCTCCTCTGAACCCTTTCCGGCTTTTCTGCATCTTTTTACAACTCTGGTCCCCAGAACGGGCTGCAGTACTCCAGGTGAGGTCTGACTAGTGCTGAGTATCGGGGAACTAGTTCCTCATCGAAAGTGCTAGTTCTGTCAAGGCAGTCCAGAATAGCAGCTGCATCACATTGTTGGCTCATATTTAGCTTGTGATCCAGAACAACCCCAAGATCCTTCTCATTTGCAGTATCGTTGAGCCAAGTGCTCCCCATCCTGTATTTTTCCATCCTGCACAGCAGGGAGCATCCCATGACTAATACTCTTTTCTTCCCATTACTGCAAATTTTGGTATCATTTATTTTATTTGGTTGACCTTTAGCTTCTTTTTCAGTGTGTTCAGTCGGAAGTTTTACAGCTTTCCTCTGTTGCAGCACAGCTGCTTTCCCAGGGAGTAGTTTTCCCATTGTCACTTCCCTCAGGATCCACTACTCCTGTCTCAGATTGGAGGTGCACTTGTGTAAGTGCATCACCCCTTTTTGGTCCCACTGGGGGAAGACGCTTGCTGCTCTAGTGCTTTCAACTTTTACCTAAGAGGTCTGTTTGCTTGCACTTGAAGTATGACTTGTCCTCAGGAGAAAAGGCATTGTAGTTCACCTTCGCTAGGGCGACTTCTGGGTCATTTTTTACAAAAATTTTGAGTGGGGACTTTTCCTGCATGCTGGGACTGAATGTGCCTCTCACACACTGCAGAAATGTGCTGCAGTCAACATAAACCTTAGCGCAAATGTAAGGAAGAGAAAATACTGGGATGCATAAAATATAAGTAAAGTTGTTTATTGGTTTAATGGATATACATTAGAGAAAGAACTTGGAATAATTAGTCACTGGGCACATGGGTGATGACAGGGATAATTCCTTGTTTCCATACATAGCTTCCTTTGTCAACTAATGCTAAAACCAACCGATGCTAAAAAATTAAATGGCTGATTTCCAAATGCATTTATGAAGAGAAAGTATTATGATTAAGCAGAAGAGGGGACTTTTATCTTCACAGCTATTTCGGGACCCCACCCCCAAATCTACTGCAGGGTCTCACGTGATGCAGGGGCCACAGAGAACACAATCTCAGGTGGGAACAGAGTGGGGAGCTCTCATTTTGCCTGACCAAGGATCCCTCGTCTTTGTGCCCGTGTTGAAAGCTCGGATGAGGCCACATTCAGCAAAACTGCCTGTTCTGTCTGCACTGGATGCTGCAAAGTCTCTGATACATGGTTCTCTCCCATGATACATGTGAGCCCCCAGACAAAGTGCAGAGCTCACCTCTTGCCCCCACACCTGCCGGCCTGCATTTCCTCCAGCCAAAGTACCAGGGAGGGGTAAGGAGGCAGCCTGAGTGCCATCAGGAATCAGCTTAGACCAGTGCTCCCAGCTGTTGTCTCCTCCACCTGCCGTATTCCATTTTCCTCTTCTCCACAGCTGCTTTCCAACTTCGGAGAGGCAGCCAGTGGGGTTCTTTCGACACTGGCTGCAAGGCGATGAGACAGAGTTTAGCATTCGGTGTCTCCAAGGTCACTGCTGGGGCTCCAGGTAACCCTTTGGCCACCTGGACAGCATCAGAAGGCTAAACAGTTGCATCCTTTTCAATTGGTGGTTGGAGTAATTAGCATCACAGCCAATTTTGTTTTGGTTTTTAACCCTATGTATTGCAGTGTTCTTTAATATGTAATGATGTACATGTACTCTGAACCCATCTGCCTGTTTCCTGGAAGGGAATACATGGACAGTGCAAGTGGATTCTAAACAGAAAGGTCAACATCACGACATTGCAGGGGATAAATGCACACCTCCCACCACGCAAGGACTGGAAGACCTAACTGCTTGCGACAACCGAAGGGGTAGTACAGAAATGCCACTTGCCAATGAATTACTCCTGTGGTGTTTCATCTGCTTTTGTTGAAGTTTATAATTCTTAGCCCTATTTTTGTATATATGTGTACACACACACACACTTCATATAATTCTGTTGGAATTCAGTTATTCAGATCTATGTAGCTACTCTTTTTCCCTTTTTCTTTTCTTTAGTTGTGTGGAAATATAACAATAAAAATTGTTAAACACCAACAATACCGGCAGCAGGATTGCAGTCTCCAGGGGGCAGCAGTTTAGTTTCAAGGGGGCAGGATGGGCCACGGGCGACATCTGGGAAGGGGCTGTATGGTGTGTCATTGCCTGCAGATGGGAGGGGGGCAGAATTGGCGTCTGCATTGCTCAGGGGTTACTTGTTAGGGGTGACTGGATTACCAGCATTTGGTCTGGTAGGGGCTCTAATGGATGCTAAAGGGAGATAACGGTGAAGTTCCACCCATGAGTTCAAAGAGATCCGGGTCTACTAGAGTAAGGTAGTTAAGCAATTCTAGCAGAGTTTCTGCTTTGCCTATTTTGCCTCTGCCCTTCCTGGCTTTCAGGAAACTCCCAACTCCACCCAACTAACCCCAACTCAGGTTAGGATTAGTTGAGTGGTGAGGGTTAGGTGGGTGGTTGAGGCTCCCCTGTTGCTCCTAAGGGACTTGCAGCCTTCCTCAGGATAGGACACCTGTCTCCCTCCAGATACCCTGGGCATCAGCTCCCATTGTTTAGGCTGGCTGGCTGGCTGGCAAGACCCGAGGCAGCCTCAGGACTCCCTTTGTTGGTCAAGGAGCAGCACAGCAGCCCTGGGGGGTGCAGAATTACTACCCCAATCTACTGCAGCTGCCAGGGCCCTCATGAGTTTCACCTGGGAACCCTGGAGGAAGAGCTATGTGAGAACTGGATCTTCCCCTGAAAAGCTGCCTCAGCAACAAAGGCTCTCTGAATTGCTCCTGGTTTGTGGATTCTTGGACTTTGCTTCTGGAACTCTGCCCACCATCTTGCTCCAGCCCTCAAGGTACCTGTTTTGCTCGGCTCGGCTTCCTGATTCCTGGCTTGCCCTGACCACATTTGCCTCTTGAACGGACTTGGCCTTGCACTGCAGCTCCCAGCCTGACCTTTGGACTGCTTGGCTGTCTTCTGGAGCGACTTCTGTGCCCCATCCTGGGTGCCTGGGTCCTGGCTGTCCTCTGTGCTGGTCAGTCACCCACACCCTGGATCCCGACACTGGCTCAGCGGCATCTGAGTCTGCCTCCTCATAAGTAGGCCCTTGCTCATTTGCCTGCCCTTGACAAAAGGGTCTTTGGGGAGTCAGGTGGGTTTCCTCATGGTTGGCTCTGGGTGTCCCACCCTGGGGTGGGTGGGGGCAGTCTGGAGTTACAGCTGGGGTCAGGGGAGCCATGCTCTGGCCCATCACACCTTCCATGCTATCTTGCCCCATCCTCGATTCCTCACCAGGCCGATGGTTCCTCCAGAAATACAAAGGAGGGGCATTTCTGAACACCAGCCCTTCCCAGCTGTGGCACTTGGAGAACGAAGGGGCAGAGGCAGGATACCTCCATTCAAATTGCATCTCCTCCCAGCAAACTTCGAATGCAAGTGGAGGATTGTGTTCATATTTACAGTCCCAAATGTGCCGGATTCCAGGCTCTTCCCGCACACGGATCTGCTTCCCAAGATGTCCCCTTCTGGACTGGGCAGGGGGTGCGTTAGTCCTGGATCGGTGGGGAGCTCAGAGACAGAACCCCCGTTCCTGGTGTTGCAGAAATGGTTCATGTCCCGGAGCGCATATGCCCAAAATGCATATCGGGAAGGTTTTCTTATAAAAGATTTATTCTCAAGAATAACCGGCTGCCAACCAATCGTTCCAGATGGTGCACCTGAGCAGCCCCCAGCTGACCCTTCTGTTTGTTGTTGTTAGTCACAAAGTCACATCCACCCCATCGCGACCCCATGGACATCCTTTCTCCAGGCCTTCCTCTCCCCCACCATCCCCCGGAGTCCACTCAAGCTCTACCCACTGCTTCAGTGACCCCATCCATCCAGCCCCCTCCTCCTCTGCCCTCAATTGTTCCCAGCAGCTGGCCTTTCTTTACTTTGATCATTAAAGGCTTACATGTAGCACGGTTAACACTTTACAATAGGTGACAGAAGTGAACAGTTGCAATGACAGGATCTTTCCTGCTTGCATACCAAAGAAGATGCTCTGAAAAAGGGGAGGGGGAGGGGGAGGGGGAGGGGAATTGCCCTTGGTTTGAGCTGCTGTTATTGTTCAGGCGCCAACTGGCTTTTCTGCAATGGTGCCAGCTACTTTTCAAGGGTGCACGCAGGCTGATTTCTAGAAAAGAGGCTTTTCTCTGGCCTGGGTATGTGCCAATGAGTGCATGATCGCACCTGTGTAAGTTCTACCTATTGATTCGTGCATCGTCTGGACCTGACACTGGACTTCAAGTGTCCTAGGAAGGAGGCTGGAGTGGAAATAGGTAACTCGGCCTTCCTCAGTTCCCATCATCCCCAGCCAGTAGGCGCAATGCCCATTCCACTTGAAAGGAAGGTTGGGCATTGTAGTCCAACATGCTCGGAGGGCGCCAGGGCGTGCGAAGCCGGAGCCGCCGGGAAGGAGAAGCGAGAGCCCAGCCGGCCTCCCTCCTCTCCTCCCGGCCTGTCCTGGAGAAGCCGCCGGTGCCGGGAAGGAGCCGGCAAGGCCGGACTGACGGGCAGCGGGAAGGGAGGTAGAAGAGCGACTACCGCAAGGGTTAAGGCAATCGAGCGCTGCTTCCTAGAGGGGCAAGAGCTGAGGGGGAGCGGGGAATGCACCCGGAAGTGATCTGCCCTTGGACTCCCGGAAGGAGAATCGGCTGGGAAGGTCTCCTAGCAACGAAGAGAAGGGCAGCGGCGAAGAGGTGAGCGGGCAGCAAGAGGCCGCTTTCGGAAGGGGCTGGAGGGGGAAGAGCCTCCCGGAGTCCTGGGATGTGATCGCCGCCGTCCAAGCGGAGAGTCTCGCTGGACGGTGGGCGGAGAGGGGGAGGCAGGGACGCTGAGACGGGGCAGAGTCTCCCAGGGCAGCTTGCTCGAAAGCTGGCACCGTGCAGACGCGCCGAAGTACGGATTTCCTCCTCCTCAGCCAGCATGGCCAACCCTACCCATCTTCAGGGCACCAGACTGGGGAAGACAAAGTGGCTGACATGATCCACCCCGCTCAGCCAGGTCATAGCAGCCTGGGAGGCTCAAATCTTCCCCTCAGCTACATACCATGTCAGTCTGACTTACTTCTCTGGGCTCTTGTAAAGAGGAGGGGATCACATGCATCCCTCTGGAAAAAAGTAAGATCATAAGAAATCCATGATCTTTTTCTCCAACAGAAAAAGTGGTTCTGGGGGAAGATGTTGCCACACAGTTTGCAATCAAAATGTGTGATATGTTGACAGTAATGTATCCTGACTAACTTAGATTAAATTTGCAAATACTCCAAATTAGTATTCTCTTCTATCCTGGGCAACAGGTGTAATAGAAGTAATTTTTGCAATGTTCATGGTTGTAATTCTGCATTTTGGACATTCCCCAAATTGGTTTGGGATCCTCCCAAGTTGTGGTGGTAGAAGAACATCTGGTTCTTCGCTTTTGTAAATCGTTGCTTCTGAAGAAATACGTTTTAAATACTCATGACGAAAACTGTATATTGAAGAAATGTGTTGAGTATATTAATTCATTTATTCACCTAATGTGAGCACAGGTTGCACAAAAGGCAGTTGCAGAAATACTGACCAAACCAATTTCATGACCTCCCACTGGGGAGATGGGCAAGAATGTTTCCTTTTTGCTTGTGTTGCTCAAGGGAACCTTGTTTCTTTTATCTGGCCTTTGTAGCACCAATATTTGGGCTGCCTGCAAGAAAGATTCTCCTAGTTTGCTTCCTTGCATCTCAGATAAAAACACCCAACTCTTCCTATGTACCTTCTCCTTTCAGTAGGAGTATGACTTTGAATTCTAAATGAATTGTGGGAAAGGAACACCCCCGTCCTGAGGCAAGAGGAGAGATCTCTTTCTTCCTAGCATTGCATTAGTCCAAACAAGAGCAGTAAAACATTGAAGGTTGCCTTTTACTGTGAGACCATCTGTTGATGCTGAGCGGTGGCATCCAGGGTTTCAGACGGTTTCTCTCAGCCCTATTTGAAGAGACCAGTAACATAATTCTTACAAGTGCAAATTGAAACATAATTCTTACAAGTGCAAAGCAGGTATGCAAAGCCGTTCTTTTCCCTTCCCTGCCAGTTCTTTGATTGGAAAGACTATTGTGTTCCAATAGGAAATAATACGTTGACTTTGCTGGATTATTTTATTTATTTTATTTATAAAATGTGTATGCTGTCCAATTACTAATGTCTCTGGATGGCTAACAGCATAAATAAATTGCACTCTGGCTGCAAATTAATAAAATACAATAACAAAATTCAATATTAAAACATATTAAAATATTGATTAAATAAAATGGTCTTAACCTGGTGCCGAAAAACATGGCGGACCTCTCTGGGGAACGCATTCCATAGTCGGGGCACCACTGCAGAGAAGGCCCTCCTCCAGGTACTCTGTCTCCTAACATCTTTCACAGAGGGTTCCCGGAGGAGGGCTTCTGTTGCCGATCTCGGGGCGGGAGGGCAAATAGGGAAAAGGCATTCTTTCAGGTATCCTGGTCCCAAGCTGTTTAGGGCTTTATAGGTAATAACCAGCATCTTGAATTGAGCCTGGACTTCGATGGGAAGCCAATGGAGCTAATGGAGGACTGGGGTTAGATGAGAATTACACCAATGTTTAATAGCTCTTTTTTCTTGTCTGTTTTTGGTAGAATACATAAATTATGAACTGGCTGAGCAGCCTTGATCAAAAAGTGGCAAATATCTGGCCAGGGCGACTTATTTTATATTGTTATTTTTTGCATTTTTAACTTAATGTTTGTACTTTACAAACATTTTAATTTAATGTTATAATTTAATGTTTGTATTTTTTAACTTAATGTTGTAAGCCACCCCGAGGCTTCGGCGAATGGGGCGGCATAAAAATGTTTGAATAAATAAATAAAGCTTGTGTTGATGCCCCTTTGGAATGAACTTGGAAATGGAAACCTGATGGCTTTTCTGTAGCATCATCTCCTCCATTTTAACTGCAGCTAATAAATGTTTGGAATAATATGGAGACGCTACTTTGAATCAGTAAAGTCTACTCAGATTGACAGTAGTTCTCTAGTATCTCAGACACTGGCATTTTCCAGCCCTGCCACACATACTTTCCCAGGTGAGCTTTGCTCAGCTGAGGGAGAGGTTGCCTTTTTGGAAGGAGTGCCTACATCCATATATGCCCGCCCGACCCTTGAGATCAGCGGCAGAGGCCCTTCTCCGGGAACCCTCCGTGAAGGAGATTAGGAGGGTGAGTACTCGGAGGAGGCTTTCTCTGCGGTGGCGCCCTATCTATGGAATGCGCTCCCCAGAGAGGTCCGCCTGGTGCCGTCGATATTTGTTTTTCGGCGCCAGGCGAAGACCTTTTTATTTAAACGCCATTTTAATTGTTAATATTATTTGCTTATTTTATCTGGCCAGGGTGACTTATTTTATATTGTTAATTTGTTGTATATCTGGATGTATTATATTTTAATGTTGTGAGCCGCCCCGAGGCTTCAGCGAATGGGGCGGCATAGAAATGTTTTAAATAAATAAGTTCTTTTATTTTTAATGAGGGAAGACTATGTGTAACTGTTAAAACTAACATACCTCTGGTTTCAGTCTACCTAGTTTGCCTTCAATCCTCTTCCATACTTCTGATCTTTCTTGTGGAAACCATATTGTATTGAATTTAGGGAACTGAGGTACAGGCTTATAAGGGGGAAGGAACATAAAGTTAATACTCTGCTATGAAAGAACCTTCCATAGCACTCATGTTGTCTTATTTCTTTCAGACAGGTAGTGGCAGTAGAAAACACATGAAGCGTCATATTAAGTGTCTGAGAAAAAAGGCTGGTATCCGGATGTGGCAGGAAATTTTGGAAATAGAGACAGGATGAATGATCTGGAAGAAAATCAGACAAAGCAAGAGAGGAATGAATATCAGGACACAGACATCCATACAATGGTGGCACAACAAAACACCCCCGAGGAAAAGAGAGAGAGAAAATGCCCAGTACGTGGAAAAATGTTTCCTTGTAAATCTTCCTTTGATGACCATGGTTCCATGCAAAAAACAAAGAAGAGATACCAATGCCTTGAGTGTGGAAAGAGTTTCAAGCGGAGTACAGAACTGCTCAACCATCAGAGAACACACACAGGAGAAAAACCATTTAACTGTCTAGAGTGTGGGAAATCATTTAGTCAGAAAGTGGCACTTACTATCCATCAAAGAATACACTCAGGGGAGAAACCATTTAAATGCTTGGAGTGTGGAAAGCAATTCTGCCAGAGTGGTGCCCTTCAATCACATCAAAGAATTCACACTGAGGAAAAACCATTTGAATGCCTTCATTGTGGAAAGAGCTTCAAACAGAAGGGTTACCTTACTATACATCACCGAATGCACACAGGAGAGAAACCATTTGATTGTTTGCAGTGTGGGAAGAGTTTTGCTCAGAAGAGAAGCCTTACTAGACATCAGATCATTCACATAGAAGGCAATCCCCTTAAATGCCTAGAATGTGGGAGGAGCTTCAAACACAAGAGTTACCTTACTAAACATCAGAGGATGCACACTGGAAATAAACCATTTCAGTGTTTGCAGTGTGGAAAGAGCTTTTCTTGGAAAAGAAGCCTTACTAGACATCAGATGATTCACACAGAAGACAACTCATTTAAATGCCTGGAGTGTGGAAAGAGCTTCCAGCAGGAGGATATTCTTGCCTCTCATAAGAAAATTCATAGTGGACAAAAACCATTTGAATGTTTGCAGTGTGGAAAGAGCTTTATTTACAGGCAGAGTCTCTCTAGTCACCTGATAATTCACATGGAAAACAACCCATTTAAATGTATGCAGTGCGAGAAAAGCTTTAGCCGGAAGTATCATCTTGTTCTGCATCAAAGAACTCATGCTGAAGGAAAGTCATTTAAATGCCTGCAGTGTGGAAAGAAGTTCCAAAACTGCAGTGCCCTTAGAACACACAAAATAATCCACACTGGGGAAAAACTGCATAAATGCCTGGAGTGTGGGAAGAGCTTCAAATGGAAGACGGCCCTTAATTTCCACCAAAGAACTCACACAGGAGAGAAACCATACGAATGCTTAGTGTGTGGGAAAAGATTCTACCAGAGAAGTGCCCTCATTTGCCATCAGAGAACCCACACAGGGGAGAAACCATATCAGTGCTTGGAGTGTGGAAAGTGCTTCAGTGTGAGACCGTCACTTACTTTGCATCAAACCACTCACACAGGCAGAAAACCATTTAAATGTTTAGAATGTGGAAAGAGTTTTAGTCGGAAAGCTTACCTCTCTTTACATCAAACAACTCACAGAGGGGAGAAGCCATATAAATGCTTGGAATGTGAAAAGAGCTTCAGCCGTAAATCATATCTTAAATTTCATAAAAGAACTCACACAGCGGAGAGACCATATACATGCTTGGAGTGTGGGAAGAGCTTCAGGCAAAAGGCATACTTTTCATTACATCAAAGAATGCACACAGGGGACAAACCATTTAAATGCCTGGAGTGTGGAAAGAGCTTCAGTCGAAGGGAGTCACTTACCTCACATCAAAGAACGCATGTAGATACATCGGAGGAGGAGGAGGAGGAAGATCCCCCTTCTACAGTAGACTCAGGGCAACCTGAGGGATCCTGTAGCAGTGGAACCGCTACTTCCCAAACTTCACCAGAGCACCAATTGCAGTGTATCAGGTGGGACACTCAGAGCCATGGTGGGATAGCCCATCTGATTCCCCGCAGGCCCTTTCGCCCCGGGCATACACATGTGTAAGCTTCTACTCACAAGTAAGGATGTGCTTATGAGGAGGCAGATTCAGCTGGAGTTATTAATCCTGACTCAGGGTCAGCCAGAATATATGTCCCTTTCTGAAAACAGAAGACAATATTTAAGTTTCTGGAGTAGGAAAGGAACGTGAACCTGGGCACACATCTTCCTAAGCATACAATTAATATTTAGCGCTTCTGGCATGTACATGGGGTGATCAGATCACATCAAATACTCCTTGTGGGGGTAGATCTTCTTGTAACATTGTGACAGTGGTTTTTATAAAATGGGTCTTTAGAGATGTGAGTGGGTTGAGCTGGGGAAAGTTCAAGAAATGTTTTGCTGGGAGACAGATATTTTGCAGCTGATCAAGTGGTGGATAGGAATGTCTCTCTCACACACTTTGTAAGTGCACTTTAATAAGATGAAGCCAAGTACAGATGAAATAAATTTGCATGAAAGTGGAATTACTGAAATGTGACTATAATTAGTGTCATTGCTTCTTGGTTAAACAAATGCTCATACAGTTTCTCTGATATGTGGAACGAACTTGGAATAAATATTCACCAAATGTATTGGTGATTAGATTTGTAGTTCTAAGTTTCCATGTTCTATTTTATTTTAAGGGCTTCATTGTGCTAAAAACTGTACCAAATATATGGTTAACTTAGCATAGCATAATAGAGTTGAAAGGAGCCAAGAATTTGGAATACAGCCACAACAGGATTATGGTTTGCATTTATGTCAGCCCCTGGGTACATTTTCAATGACTTAACACAGTCTCAGTGTCTCTAGTTAACTAAAATATATTATATTCGATTGCTTATAATATGGTTGTTAGTAATATCATGCAGGGATTTCTATGTATATATTCTCCTTTTTCATAATTTAAATGCACATCATGAAATGTATATATTGATGTTTCACATACTTTTTGCTACTCCAAAGTTCTTGGTAAAGTCTTCATCACTACCAGCAGTTGGAGCACATGTTGGTATGATGTCAGTGTCTGTGGGATTTTCCTTCAGCTGAAAACACATCATCCAATGTGAGTTTGAAACCAAAGTTTGTAATGGCTGCACTTAGGAGCTGTTGCTATGATTGCAACTTCAAAACCCTTGCTGCCCGATTGGGTCTGCAATCTAACTGACCCAACACACTTAACTCACTTCAAGAGTTTGGATATTCAGCTTTTTTCTTAAACAGTATGGGGGTTACAATAAAGCTTTATGGAGCTCTGGGAGATAAGTACCAAGGCATGGAGCAATAGTCCCACCTGCCACCTTCTGGAACTGGTCATCAGTTAAATGGAGGTGAAATCCAACACTGCTCGTATGTTTCTGAGCCTGAGCCAAGGTGCCGGTTGCGCCCTGTGAAGCCTTGACACAGCTCAGGACCAAAATGCATGATTGCCTGCCTACTGAACTGGTCTGGCCCGCAGACGGCCGCACTCACTGTGATGTGCTTTCACTGTGCGGTCCAAGCTGTTGTGTTCTGCATCAGCTGAAGCTGGTGTGGCAGCATCCCTAAAACCCAGGGCTTTTCAGGAGTCCTCCTGGGGGATCAGTCCCAGCCTTCCTGAGGTGACAGCACTGAGACGAGGCGGGCACATGGGGGTAGGTGTGGGCTGAACCCAAGACGTGTTTCTCTCAGAGGCAAAAGACGAGGCCACCTTCCTTCTCAAGTTATTTATTTATTTAAAACATCAGGGGCGGCAAAATATTCTTCCCACACACCTGAGGAGGGCAGGCCCGTTTTTATTTATTATATTTATATCCCATCCTTTTTCCTTGCGAGGAACTCCAAGCGGCTCACATAATTCTCCCCCCGATCTTATCCTCACAACAACAGCCCTGCGAGGTAGGCTGGGCCGAGAGTCTGTGCCTGGCCCAGGGTCGCCCAGCAGGCCCCATGGCTGAGCAGGGACTCGAGCCCAGGTCGCCCGAGTCCCAGCCCCGCAAGGCCCACCTGGCTCTCGGAGGCCCAGGTCTGACTCGCGGGCCCTGGGCCCTCTCCCGAGCGAGGTGCGCTGGGGTGGCCCCAGCCGCTGCCCCTCTCATTTTATTTATTTATTTATTTTATTTATTAAAACATTTCTATGCCGCCCCATTCGCCGAAGCCTCGGGGCGGCTCACAACATAAAGTTAAAATACAAAAAATAATAATATAAAAAATAATCAGGGCACCACGGCCGCCCCCCGCCCCGGCCAGCAGCCCGGGGCAGGAGCGCTACGGCGAAGGAAGGAGCCGTGAAAACCAGAGCGAGAGAAGGAAATGGTACCGCGATCTCTCTCTCGCGGACTCCTCTGGCAGGGGAGGATGGGCGCTGTGATCCAGCATGCCCGGAAGGCGCCAGGCCAGGCTGGACCCACCCGAGAGAGGGCACGAAATCGCCGCCGGCCTCCCTCCCTGGGGGGGGGGGGGGCCAGGCCTCCAAGGGTTAAGGGAACCGAACGCTACTTCCTAGAGCGGAAAGAAGCGGCCCGACGGGAAAGAGCGGAAGTGCCCCGCCTTTGCCTCCCCGGAAGGGAAGTCGGGCTGGGCCGGTTACCTGGCGACGAGGGGAGGCCGAACCGACGCCTAGCAGGTATGGGGAGGCGCGTGGGGCAGAAAAGAGGGCCTTGCTTGGACAGGGACTACCCGAAAGAGGAGACCCGCGCGGTGCTGCCTCCTCCTTCCAGCAAACGCGCTGGGCTGCATGTTTCACCATCCCAAGCCGGATGGCTAATGGGAGTTGTAGTCCGGCGCCTTTGAGGGCGCCAGGTTGGGGAAGGCCAAGCGGATGGCCTCACGGGACCCATGTTCACGACGCCTGAGTCAGGCAGCGGTCTCGCCCTGGGCTACAGTCTGGTCAGTGGTTTTATTTTGGGACTGGCGTCTCGCTCCGCTCAGCTCAGCTCAGCTCAACCTTCCTTAGTTCTTGTAAACGGGAGAGGATCGTGTGTGGCAAGTCCAAAACAATAAGCTTTTTTTCCCCCTCCCCCCGCAACAGAATGTGACCGGGCGAAAATGTTAGCATGAGGGATCAAAATCCCCCATCAGTTTACGTTCCCGAGTCCCAAGCTCAGCTGCATTTTGCCAAAACTCCGGATCAGTGGTCTGTACTCCCCCAACCCGCACCTGCAGGCAAACAAGTGAGACGTAACTGACCTCAATTTGTGCATTTTGGATGTTCTCATAAGGATATTGAGATTCACTCAACTTGTAGCTGTGATAGTAGAGAACATTTGTTTCTATGCTTTGCCAAATTGCTTTAAATATAGCTGAAGAGAAGTGGGGAATTGCATAGAAACATAGAAACAGAGCGAGTCAGAAGGGGTCTCCTGGGCCATCTAGTCTGACCCCCGGCTCCAGCTGGCTCTGCTCATGACATGCCCACCATGTGCATGCCCAGCTGTATGAACTCACATTAATATTCTGTATTTTAAAGCCTCGGTTGCGTATTTGGCTTTTATTCACCCAATGTTAACACAAAAGATGGAAGTGGTAATATTAACCAGACCAGAATCATGACCTCACACTGGAAAGACAGTTAAGGGACAGCATGAATGCTTCCTATTTAGTTGAGAGGCTTAAATGAACTTTGCTTGCTTCCTTTAGCTCAGTAGGCTGCAAGATGTCAGGACAGGCAGATTCCACTGGTTTGCTTCCATCAGACTTTTAAATCACACTTTAAAAATCCCAGTCTCCCTCTCTGTCTTTTCCTTGCAGAAAGCGCATTCATCTTTACATGGTTATTTATTTATTTAAAGTTTTTATATGTCGTCCCCTTGCTACACAGCCTCGGGACGGCTCACAGAAATGTAAGATACGTAGTGTAGGACCACCTGAGTCACAAAACAAGACTCTGTGATGGCATCAGTTCAGGCAAGGCAGTAAAACATACCAGAGGCCATCTGGCTCAACATTTTCAACACCTAGTTGGCAGCAGCTTTACAAGTTTTCGCATGATGGGATCTGAACCTTGCGATTTATGTATGCAGCACACGTGTGTCCAACTGACTGATTATGTCGCTGCCTTTGGTAGAAGAATGTTAAAGCCTCACAACACGGTGAAGTATGTTTTGAGTTTCAGAAAACTCTTCCTCTGTGATTTGAGGAGTAGGGAGAGGAATGGTCAAAGCCCAGTCTGTAGTCAGTCTAGTCTTCACTTTGCGGGCATATGAGATTGAGTTATATATGACACAAAACAGTGGAGACATTCTGGAACAAAATGCATTTGGCAACTCTGTTGGCAAATCTTTCAATAAAAATCCAAAGTCATCCAAATCTATTTCAGGGTCTGACAATAATTCACTTGCTTCTGATAGGAGGCAGAGGTTGGGGTGTTGTTGTTGTTTTGATGAGTAGTAATGGAGAATTTGTTCTACCAGGATTGTTGGCATTTTTCTAAGTGATGGATCTTGGAGTCCTAAGAGTGGTTGCCTCCATAGTATCTCTGATTAGTGCCCCAGTTGCAGCCACCAGGACATGACCCCTTGACCTGAGCCAGACTTCTTCGGCTTTATTCCTCAAGATTCTCTCTGTATGCAAGCATTCGTAGAATTATAGAATCACAGAATAGTAGAGCTGGGAGGGGTCAGAAGGCCACTGGATCTAACCCCCTGCTATTGCAGGATGCTAAGCTACACCATCCCACTCAGATGACTCAGAGACATTTTTGAATGCCTCCAAAGGCTGACCCAGCCAGCATGTTGATGGCTGTTGTGTGAGTAATTTTCAATATTTTTATTGCTGTATTTTCAACTGTTACCACTTCCATAAGTTATTTGAACAACCTATTGGAAAGCAGCATGTAAAGCTATATAACAGGTGGGAGCTACTGAGGTGTGGTGCTTAGAGTGTTGGACTAGGAACTCAGGAGATCCAGGATCTAGTCCCCACTTAGCCAGGAAGTTCACTGGGTGACTTTGAGCCAGTCCCAGACTCGGTCCAACCTACCTCACAGGGTTTTGTGAGGACAAAATGGAACTGTGTAGGCTGCCTTGAGTTCCTCACAAGAGGAAGAAAGGTAGAATATAAATGCAGTGTTGTTGTTGTTGTTGTTGTTGTTGTTATTACCTGAAGGAGCGCTTACATCCATATATGCCCGCCCGCCCCTTGAGATCTGCGGGAGAGGCCCTTCTCCGGGAACCCTCCGTGAAAGAAATTAGGAGGGTAGGTACTCGGAGGAGGGCTTTCTCTGCGGTGGCGCCCTATCTATGGAATGCGCTCCCCAGAGAGGTCCGCCTGGCACCATCGTTA